TAAACGTTTGGGTTAATACCTCCTGGGCTTGGTCCTTCAGTATACTGTACAGACTGATGTAGGTTCCACAATGGGGACCAAGTCATAATGGAGACTCTTACATCAGGGAGATGACATGAAAGAGGCGGGGCGTAGAGAGTGACACTGTTTCACTGCTCCTAAAGAAAGTCCAAAGAGACCGAAGAGACACAGGGAGAGAGCACAGCGCAGTGAGAGGCAGTGGGGTCCTGCCAGGTAAGAGCTTGGTTTTAAAAAAAGTATTGAGAGACAAATTCAGAACAAGGGCAGCATGTTCAGGGTTGGGGAGGTAGATCCCTTCTACTCAAGGGTATGTTAGCTTGTAAGTGTAATTAAGTACATACATTTATAGGGATCTTTCAATTTTTATGAGATGTTTTATTGTGGTTTGTATTGTTTTTCTCTCTCATCTGTTAGGTAGCTTACTAAACTTTATTTCATATTGTTGTCAGATTGTGCATTAGGGTAATTCACGGTTTTAATTCAGACCCTCGATTTCATTTTCACTATCCCGCTGGTGCAGCACACAGTTCTAATCTTCCTCTGTGTGAAAGCAACCCCTGTGGCCTGGACACTGTGGAAGGCTGTCATAAACATGTGACAGGGAAAGGCATCCAATTGTGATGGAGGTTGTGATGTCACAGCATTCTAATTCCATTGATGTCAGGACTACTCTGTGCTGCTGTGAGAGGAGTCCAGTGGTACCTGCAGTGCAGAAACCAGACAGGAATATGTCACCTGCCTTTTACCTCACAACATCTGTAACACTTAATTTTTTAATTGGCTTTATTATCTTATTATGTTTGCAAGATACCTTGAAATGTGATTCTAATAATGCAACCTTGACTGAAATATAAAGAAATGAAGTTGAAACACAGAGAATATAAGAACATTACAAAACTAAGTGAAGCTGTTTATATTTATCACTTTCTACCCAAAAAGGTATTTTTTCTAATAGGTCCTTAGTTGTTTAGTTATACAGACACTATTTAGCAGCTGGGAGCTGGTCATTCAATTATTTAAACACCAGATTAATTTTATTTCTCCTATCGAAACATACAGTACTGTACATTTTGCTGTCTCTTACCAGGAAAGTGAAAACGTTCTGTAAACAGACTTATAATCAGTTTTTTAATTTCCCTGTTCATACCTATACAGCTATCGTTGTATTGGTACAGGGCAGTCAAAAATATGTTCAGTGCGTGCTGGGAGGAGTAATTAGTACTAGATGTCTCAGGTGGTGCGCACAGCTGCGAGTATTGTATAGGAATGATCTTCATACTCAGTGTTAGTGAATTTGTATCCTGAGGCATTAGTACTTGATCTAGTTGCTCAGCTCTCTTTTCATACCTGTTGCTTAGTGTGTTTTGATATAAGAGCTTTTATTAGCCTTTGAAAAGAAAGCCACATTGCAGGTAAAATTTGGAAAAGTTTCCTAAAAGCCCCATTGAACAATTCCTCAGTGGATGATTTGTTTTTCCTTTGTGTTTTAGGGACAAATCAATGCTTCAGGAGCTTGACAGATTGCCTCTGTACATGCCTGATTACGCATTGCAGTTAGAGCCGCAGGCCAAATGTAGCGAAGACTTAAAATGTCAATATACTTCTAAAGCTTTTATTTCTTTTGGCAGGAAATAACCTTGCAACCCCCTTGCCCAAAAACGTGGATCTTTTATAGAGCTCTGGACCAGTAGTGTAATGATCTATGCTTACTTGACTCATGGTGCCTAATGAGTCTTTTTTACAGTATTTCAGTGGGGTGACATGAATAGTTTTTTTTATACCTGTTTGTTAGGACAAATGCTACAGGCAATAAGGTTAATCAGTGCACTAAACATACAAAATGACTTGCAGGAGAGATACTGTAAGACAAAGCCTGGAGGTATCTTTCTTGCCTTCCTCTCAATTCTGTGGAGTTAAATGTCAGGATAGTAAGAAATTAGAGGCCTGTTTCTTTCTAAATTGCTACTTCCATCTCTGAAAAGAGCAGAAACTATAAATATGGAAAGCTAATTTGAATCCTTACTTTTGGTCTGTGTTCAGTTACGTAAGCCCAGCTCAGAGATCAAATAACCTTCTTGGTGTGACATTTGATCAGAATTCTTAATTTTTGTTTTTATTGTTTTTGTTTCCCATAGTGAAAGCAAACTTGTAGAAAAATGCAGGTCCTGAAAAACTTGGAATAATAGCCCTGTCTACAAATTCAGTAACTATACCTAGTTTTATAAGATTAGATTTGGGAACCTGCATCATCTTGTATCCTGCAAACAAATAAATAGAGTTAAAATCAATGCTCTTTGTCTTCCCAGTATGGGTTTTGCTCCATGTATACTTAGTTTTATGTTATATACTTAAAAATAACAGTCCTATGTACTCTTTCACCCTGGGGTTTTCTTAATCATTTCATTAAGAAGACAATGCACAAAGGAGAACATTTAGCACAGTGTATATTGTATAAGTATGATAAAAATGCATATTTTCTGAAGATTTAGCTCCTAATGAAATCCAGAAGAAGTCTGTCTAGATCAGGGCTGTCCACACCTGATCCTTCAAGACCTGTGTCTTTGCAGGATTTCTGGAGGATAGGATTAGTTTTTCAGTTGTCTTTGGACCCAAATAATGTCCATGAGGCACATTTCTAGGTTTTTCTTTCATGTTCTTCTAAGTTTCCCTTCACATGAAGATATGGTTTGGGAGTGCTGTCGAGTCAGTGTTGAGTCATGGCGACCCTGTGGATAGCTCCCCCGTCACTATCCATAGAGTTTTCATGGCAAGATGCGGAAGTAGTAGTGCTAGTGTTGTTGACCATCCGCCGCCAACACCACCCCCCTATACTGCTGCTGCCCAGTATGGGTTATTAGAGAACCTTGCGCCCAACGTGGGACACAAGTCCACTACCCTGAGATTATGAGTCTCATGCTCTACCTGCAGAGCTAGTAGGGCCCGAAGAGATGGTCGAAGTTGTTAAATTGGTCAAGTTAAACCAGTAATGAGTTGGTTAAGCTCATTATGAGCTGAGATGGAATAAAAATCTTGCAGACACATCAGTCCTCCATGACCTGGATTGGACAACCTTGATTAAGATGATCACAGCTATTGGAGACCATAAAGCCTCACCTGCAGTAGGGTTCTCTTTGTTCATTTTTGTATTGTAAAATTAATAGCGACATGAGTGTTCACGATTGCTCCTGGTTTCAGAGATAGTGATTTTTCAATAGTCTTTGCAGCCAAACAATGTGCATGAGGAGTTTAGAAGAGATTAAGAAATGAATTAAGTGTATCCCAAGTTTTCCCATATTACCTGGTAAACAAGCACACAGTGGCCTTTAAAAGTGTTTGAACTGTATAATTTCCCTGTCAGTTTTATTAAAGGGCACATTAATTAAGGTGTGCTGTTTTTTTCTGTTCTCATTTTTTTGCATGCACTCAGGCAGCCTGATTTGCTTCAGTGAATATTGGTTATTTCAAAAGCTGTTTAATGTGAAACTCGTTCAGATCAATTTCACTCAGCTAATGAAAGCAGTTTCATATATTCCCAGCACTGCATTGACTGAGAGGTGAATGTTTGAAGTTCATGTCAAAGATTGTTTTTATTTCATAAATCATGTTCTAATTGTACAGTATTTATGTTCAACAGAACCATAGGATGTTGGAGAGATTTATTATAGTAAAACTATTAGAGTTTTAATTTAGCTTCAGGAAATTATTCACCCCATCTTACAACCAGGCTATTTTTTTACTGTTTGGGCCTCTACAAGATGTAGTATTTTTCTGCTGGTGAGAAATATAAAGTGCTTGTGGTGTCATTGTATGTAGATAACTCCACATCGTTCGGAAGAGTTTTGGGATCAAAAGAGCTGTGAAAAGTCCTATAAGGGCAAGTCCTGAACTCAAAGAGGACCTGATAATGTATTGAGTTTGATTGTTGGTCAGAACACCATTAGTAAATATCTGTGTACTCACAGTTCAAAAGGAAGTTGTCTACACGATCAACTGCAGTCTGAAAGTACTTTATCTAGGCCATGTTTCTATCTCAAACCTTGAATCTTACAGTCTTATTGAATACTTTAACAAGACAACAAAACAAATTTGCAAGAGCTTGAAGACAATGATACAAACTCGCCATTTCCATGTGGACTCTGAAGCAGGCTAGTTAATCAAATCCTCTTGTGCACACGTTTTGCAGGATTCCAACTGGTTTCCTGCCCTCTCTGTTCTGTACCGTACATTGAGTTTTACAATGGTGTTGGACCTTGGCTGCCTGAAACAGTCCATTTGAAACAGTCCCACAGGACCACAGAACTGGTTAAGTAGCTGCTGACATCCCCTGAACCTAAAGGAAGCCTAGGCTGCACAGGGGAATGTCATTATAATTTCTGTGAGTCATCTCCTGAACAAGAGCAAACATTTTAAAAAAGGAATATAATTGGTGTCTGCAAGAGAGAGACTTCATGATCGTTTTGATTTCTGCTGGGTATAATTAAGGCTAAAGTGAATAATAATTAGCACTATTATTCTGTGCTTCTCTCACGGTGCACGGACATGACTCATCCCCACCCCATCACAGAAAGCCTATGTGTTGGCTAGCATCTGGAGGAGCATTTCTGCTGTGTGATGTGTATTACAATAACAACACGATTTTATATATGAGCACACATTAAGAAGCTCAAACGGCTGTACTGTGGCACACATGTAATAGACACAGGAAGAAGCACAAGGAGAAAAGAAAACCATAGAAAATTGACCCAGCAAAACATTGTTGTATTTGTAGTTGGGAATGAGCGTAATCTCCATTTCAATAATTTACTGTAGTTCTTATTTCCCATTGTCGTCTTGTTTGGAACCTGATAAAACATCTGAAACCATGCTGGACTTGGAAACGTTGTGATTTGTTTTGTTTTAAAGAAGCGTGTTCAGGCACCACGGTTGAAACTCTTCCCCTCTCTCTCTCATTCTCCGCCTCTGTCAACACCTCCGCGCAGTCGGGAGAGCGACGCAGCCTGCAGAGTTGCGATGGCAGATGGCCGGCAGCCTGAGGACAGCGCCCCCCAGTGGGCACCCCCGGGGCCTCGCACCGATCCTGGCGCTCACTCCCACGGCCCACCGCCTGACTACAAGGACTCGGCGCCCCCTGCTGCCCGCAGTGAGAATGGGTACTCCTCCTACCAGGGCTGTCAGCCTGGGGAATCCCACGCAGCCCCTTACTCTGCTGCCCGGGAAAATGGCTTCAATGGAGACCTGGCGTCTGGAGATGTAGTCACGGCAGGTAAGGACACAAGACCAAGCAGGAGTGACTGCTCAGCATTGCTTGGTTCATGAATGATCCTGAAGTGACGAATTCCAGACAGTAACTTAACTCAATAACTTATCCTCAGGCACCACATCGTCTTGTAATCTTCATTCCCATGGAGCTTTTGTTTAACTATGCGAAATCTTTGACAGTTAACTTGAACAGTTGGATATGTACCGTGCGATACTTGTAATGTGTTTACCTTAACAAGTTAAGTTGCAGTAAGAGGGGAACTGCAATGCTGTTTGTGTATTCTGAGGTTAGAAAGGATCGACATTTGATCAGGGCTTTTCAAACAACACTGAAAGTAAAATATACACAGTAACATATAAAACCTCCAATTTACATCACAAAATAGACCAAATTTCCAGATATAGACAGCGCCATATTGCTGGCATTGTCTGTGATTCAGAACTAGGCAACAAAACTTCCGGTGACATGAACTGGCACTATTACATTTTAAACAAAATACATTGGCTGCATCAATACATTGAATACATCTCTTTTAATCCAATAGAAATATTGCTCTCTACTTCAAGACAGAATGTTGCCAACAAATACTACTTGTTAACTCTGCACACAGATAACGTAGGAACATTTCTGCAATGAAATGTCTGCTGCACAACCTGTACTTATTCGTACTTATTCGTTTGTACATCGCATTACATTATTCATTGCAGTGACTAGTGATCAGGAAGGGCTGGTTTAAGTCACAATTCTTGCGAGCTCTTGTTCTTGCCTGTGGGGAAACCAGGTTTTTTTTTGCGATATTGTCAATTAATGTAACTCATTACCACGATTCAATAACTATTCTGAGAAACCTGGGACTGCAGTTCCCCTTTAACTTCTCAGTCTGTATCTTGTGCTAACTGCTCCACTCAGAAGAAAGGAGACTGCTGAGTTCAGAAGTACATAAATGTGTTTAGTTTTTCCACGTTACTCCTTATTTTTATTTGTCTTGACATAACTTTATATTCTGAGTAGGATTTCTGGTTTTTAGTGTATATTTTTAGAAGCTCTGTTTGTTATTATGCTTTTTCATTGTTTTTGCAGTACACTTGATCATTGATTGTTTGGCAACCGTTAATCCAACTTCCAACATTTTTCAATACAGTCAGAGATAATTCAAAGAGACTAGAGTGTATTTGAGCTTTTGTGGCAAAAGCAGTGTATGAATCCTGAGGATACGGTGAATATATATATATTTTTTTTGCTGTGATTTTATCTTTTTGTGCTATAAGGTCAGTATTTATTATATTTCCAGACTTGTACACAATATAAGGCATTTCAATATAAGGCAATATAAGGCATTTTAATTGCCGTATGCCATACAAAATTTACAAGCAACATTTTCTTTCTCATTGAATATGTACAGTACTGTACTAAAAATGTACTTTGCATTGAACAACCTGAAGTAATGTATAATGTACAGTACTGTGATTTTGCAATACTGTGCTGTAACATACAGTACGTACGATATGTTGTCTATGTGTGTGTTTTGAAGTACTCTGTGCTGTATTTGTACAGTAATACTGTATTTTTATACTGTAAACAAAGTCGATACATTAAAAGCATGTACACAAGAATGTGCAAAAATAAGCTACTATAAAACCTTAGATGTGATTTTTCTGGTGTTTCTGAAAATCCTGCAGTCACTTTCCCCTTAGGCACTGGATAATGGATGATCTGCTACACCTTCAATTCGGTGTTTTTTAGCGTTTGTTTTTAATATGTACTTGGCTGCTCTTGAAATGGCATTTAGACTTTTTTAGATGTCCTTTTGCTGTGTTGGTTGGAAACATTTTATGGTAGCTGACAACAACTTTATTGTTCTTGTGATTGTGTGCAAACACTTACAGCAGATAAAGTGTTTTTATTAAGTGGCAACAGGACTCGCAGCCTCATAAATCCTGCAGCTGGCCATTAGACAGTGATCTCATAATGTGCAGAAAATCTCATCATACCCTTCCAGAGGCATAGAAAACCTGTTTTTTTTTTGTCTGCATGCTTTCACATCAAATTATTTTTTGCTTTGTGAAAGCACATAACCAGTGTCTGTGTAGATAAGCTGTCTTGAGCTCTTTTGAATGAAGAGTGGCGTGTAGATGGAACAAGGAGCTGAACAGGATGAGAGGGAGTTGTGGGTGGGAGAAACGAGAAGGGCCCTGGTGATGGCAAGCTCTCGGATTGTTTCATGTCTTCTATTTTAATGATTATAGTAATAATAATTGTTTACACTTATATAGCGCTTTTCTGGACACTCCGCTCAAAGCGCTTGACAGGTAATGGGGACTCCCCTCCACCATCACCAATGTGCGGCATCCACCTGGATGATTTTCATCTCCCAGGAAACTACAAAGCAAATGCTTCTTTTTCTTCCTCCTATCGCTTGCGCCGTTAAAGACCGATCTCCCAACCTGCTCCAGTAACATTTGTTTTAAGGTTGTTCTTCCTCCCCATTCAGTTTTCTTCTGACTCGACCACATCAGCTTTATCCATTGTGGGCAGTTCGCTCCACACTGAATCATTTGTCTCTGTCGGATTAGTTTTTAGGTGCTGAATCCTTCTCTGTGGGGGTTGTTTTTTATTGGTTAAATGAACAGAAAAGGGGTGGCACATTGGCGCGGTGGTCAGCATGGCTGCCTTGCAGCACTAGGGCCCTGGGTTCAATTTGGCACCTGGGGTGCTGTCTACATGGACTACTTATGTTCTCCCAGTGTTCATGGGGGTTTTTGCAGATTCCTCCCACAGTCTGAAAACATACTTGCAGGTTATTTGGCTTCTGGGAAAAACTGGCCTGAGGGTGTGACTGGATCGCAGTGTGGCCCTCCGATCGACTGGCATCCCATCCAGGATGTACCCTGCCTTGCCGCCCGTTGCTTGACGGGATGGGCTCCAGATCCCCCATCATCCTGAATTGGAAGAAGCAGTTAGAAAGTGGATGGATGGACAGAGGAATCTGGAAAGCAGTGTCTTGGTTGCTGGTTATTCCTTTATTCACGTCAGGAGAGTAAAAGGCTATCAGATGAAGCTAATCTTACCGAGCATCTGAAAAGATGTGCTATGTGAGAAGCCCTGCCTCACATTGTGTAGGAGATTGGGGTTTTTTTAAGCCTAAGGATTTGAGCGGTGTGTTATCTTTGCAGCAGTAATTAACAGTAAAAATCTCCATCTCCCTAGAAAATGAAGGAGTAGGCGTGTTTGGTTCTCTCCATTTAGTTGCTATGGCAGCAGGTATAGTTGAATATTCTGAGATTTTTTTTTCCAGCCTCATGTCATGCTTTTCTGTTGATATTTTTTTCTAAGCAATTTTTGTGCGAATGCAGTGAATGTCATCTACCAGGCTAGGAATGAGTCTGAAACTCAATTTTTGTTTTATTTACAGTATCCCAACAAACACTTCTCTATGCTGAAAAATACTCTTGGTAACAACAGTGGCAGGACATGAGGTTTGTCTGCAACCATTGAATCTTGTTGTTTGCCTCTTACCAATGGTAAAAAATCTATATCAGCGGTAAAAGCAAGACTCTTTTGACTTCTGGAGATATTTGCTTTGCCATATTAGAGTTTGATAGACTTGTATACTTACCGAGATATCAGAATGAGTACGTAAACCACATTTCTGCTGTCAAATGTGAAATGATATTTTCACAAATGTCATTTGTCTGTGGTTTTGGTCCATTCTGTACAATTGATTGGATTAAACACAGAATGTCTACATTGATCATGCCTTTTTTGTAATGTTCAGATACTTGACAGATAATCTGTTATTCCATAATACTGTTCTGTTTTTTAGATGTAATTAATCTAAATTACCTAGCCTGGTGGAGGAGTTTAATTAATTAATTGTTCCTTCCTGAACAAAAGCCCTATGAGCAGGAAAATCAATGTACCACGCCTACAGTTCATACAGGCTGCTTTTCAATTGAAAACTCCATCTAATATGGAGGAGGAGACAGATTTGACACATTTTTTTTGCTGGACTCAGGGGTCTCTTTAAAAGGTTTTTTTGTTAAGGTCCCTTAAGATCCTTGTTGCATTGTAATGTAACATGTTCTAGCCTTGAACTAGTATGGGTAGAGAAAGCTTCTTCATGTGACTGTTCACATCTAGGCTTTGCGATTTCACTTACTGTAGGATGCCATTTTGCCGGTTCTGTTTTTCCAGATAATAGATTTTAGGCACACAGGGCCATCAGCATGTGGTCCTTGAGTACAAAACAAAATTGACTATTTAGCAATAAACTGGGCCAATTCCAATATGTACTGTAATTGTTTCAAAGCCAACATGACACTGCAGTCACTAAATTTGTCAAGGTATTCTGGAAGGGAAAGGCTCATCAATAGACGGATGAAAATAATAATGCAGTCATTGTACTCAGTGCTGCTGTAATATGTGTCCAGAATAATGTCCAAAACTCCTTACACTATCATTTTTATTTTTTACTGTTCTTTTTTATTCTGTTTTATATACTGTATATTGAAAGGCTTGACCTACACTACTGTAGGTCATTTGCCTAGTCCTCACCTGAAAGTACTGTACTTTTATTTGAGGTCACATTGATTCCTTAAAACCTAGATGAATAGCTTAAATTGTCAGTCTCAAACCTCAAAATGCACTTCAGCATTTAAAAGCCCACCTGACAACATTTTGCCATTGAAGCATTATACTGGCTGCTTAACTTTTTCATTGTGAGAAAGAGCAAAAAGAAACAAACAAATGAAGGGACCACTGTCAAACATGTGCTGGGCTTTGGCTTACAGTAAATTGAGTTTGTTAGCACTCATGGATATTTAGAAATAGTGTGTGAGGTGGTCTTCTGAACCAAGGCGCGTCTTGATAAAATAACTAAAACTGGCAAACTGCTTAGCCTTAAATATTTGATGCCTGTGATTTATAACAGATTGACGCCCTTTTTTGTCTTTTGATATAAATGGTTCATAATGGTTGAATGGTTGTTCTCAAAGGTGCTCTCT